TAAACAAAGATTAAGCCACCGCGTGCAACGCACGTGACGAGTTCTCGCCGGAAAAATGGTCGCCGACGAGAAAAAGGACCTAATTGGTAATTTTATTCAATTAAAATACCTTAACGCCGAATTTCCTAATTAAAATACCTTCTTGGCAAATGGGGTTGAAATAAAATACCAATATGGGTATTTAGCCGAATTTTTTTAGTCCCATTAGAAAAAAAAAACTATTTAGATATATTAAATGTAAAGTATAAATGGACGGATTATTGATGGCATAGAGATAGAATATAAAGAAAAAACAAAACTTGAAAACGTAGTGCGTATTAAAGTAAAAACTTCCAAACTTGCAAACTCATCAATCTCATAGTAAAAATCAAAGTGTGCAAATTTAAATATATTTGCAAATGTTCAAATGTGGAATTGATCGCGCGTCTTCCCCTTTCTTTTTTGGTCCATTTCAAAACTCATCAAAAAAAAAATTTAATACAAATGTACAAAAATAAGATGCTAATTCATGACAGATTCAATATAAACAAGAGAAGAGATTGGAAAAAGAAAAATTGTCATTGTTATCACCCTTAAGTTTTGCATTCATCCAAGGACAGATTTATGTGTGGACGTGTGGGGGTAATTGTCCCCGCAAAATTTTTAAAAGATATACAAATTTGCACGGTGCCCCCATAGAATTTTAGTAGGTGCCTCCCAAACTACAAAAAGTGAGACCAAATAGAAAACAATTGTGAAGAAAAATATTGTTGCAACCTAGTAGTATTTTGTTAGTTTTTTTAATGGAAATGAAAATGGTCATGTTTTCATATGAAAATGACAACGAAAAGTTATATAATTGAGATGTTTGTTTTTATTGGTAGAATTTATATTATGTAAGCTATTAATTTATATGTATAGTTTTATGTTGCCTCCCATAAGAAAGAATTTCTGGATCCTTCCCTGCATTCATCCCGTGTTTGTTAGCAGTGTGGATAGCGTGTGAGGTATTTGAGAATTTTCAGTTTTATTTTTTGTTGTTGGTCGTACTTTTGTAGTGTGATAAGAGTTTTGTTGAGTTATATTTTGAGTTTTGTTAGTGTCCGTACCTTATCATCAACATTTTGTAATGGAAAGCTTACCTTCATTCCGCGAAGTGAATTCTTTTTCAAAAGTATTGATCTTAATATTGCATATGCCATTGCTACGGATGCTGGAGCTCACAATTCTCATGCTAGTTGAAGCTCTTTTGGTTTATGTGATCAAAGGAATTGATTGATGAATTTGGACACGTGGGGAACTGTTCTAGTTATTTCTAGCGAAGAAATTGACTAGGGAAAATTTACAAAATAGATCATTTTTATAAAATATATAGCGAAATAGACCACTTTGTAAAATAATTAGCAAAATAGACCTCTTTTGAAAAAAAAAAGGTCGATTTTGAAAAACAAGGCTCAGAAAACATACGAGACTACTAGTCTCGTATGTTTAGAGCCAACTAATCACGGATTAGTGACTCAGAAAACATACGGGACTAGTAGTCCCGTTTGTTTTCTGAGTAGAAAATTTTACTAATCCGTGATTAAAACATACGGGACTACTAGTCCAGTATGTTTTCTGAGCTGTTTTGCAAAATAGACATCTTTTTTGCCTGTTGGCCAAAAAGATGTCTATTTTGCTAATTATTTAGCAAAACGGTCTATTTTGCTAAATAATTAGCAAAAACGGTCTATTTTGCAATTTTTCCCAATTGACTAACAAGAGCATACCCTCGCTTCTTGTCTTCAACTCTTATGTAGCTTGGTAAACCATTAATGGATATTTTGGACGAGGAGAACTTCATGTAGCCTTCTGTCCATTGTAAAAAAGTTGATGTTGCAAGATTTGAGAAGTGAAAGAAGAAGAAAAGAAGTAGGTATAGTTATAACTAATAGAATACGTTAGGATAGATGGCATTTGAAGGAGCCATATGATCAGTACGTGGGAATATTTTCACGGTTGGTTAAAGAAAAGCAAAAAAAAAAAAAAAATTACAGCTTGAGGTATATATTTACTCTTTTTTTTATATCCAGCAAGGAATAGAACCCAAGTCTAGAAGAGCCATATTGAAAATTTCCAATAACCTAGATTACTTGTAATGAATTTCTTATTATACTTTATTTTGTAACTTGAGATCTACAAGGGCATGTTTGGGTTTTTATGTAATTCACGTGAAAGTTATTGTAGCTAGGAAACCAGTTGGAGAGTCGGACCTTGCAGCTTCAGTAACTCCTGACCAAAATGTTTCCTTTTGGGGGGAATTGGTCAGAGGCTGTCCAATGGGATTTTTTAGTGTCACGGTAGCACTCTATTTGCACAGCCAAACAGCATAAACAGGTGAAAGTTGATGTAGCCTGATAGCTTCAGTACTTTCAAACAAAGGGCGTGGTTGGTTCTTTTTCGTAAATCATGTGGAAGTTACTGTAGTCAGAAAACCAGTTCAAAACTAGATCTAACAGCTACAGCAAAATCCGTCCAAAACGCTATATTTTGAGGAGAAATGATCAGAGGCTACCAACTAGAATTTTTTTAGTAGAATTTTTTTACTGTCGTATCAGCACTCTATTTGTACAACCAAACAACATAAATAAATAAATAAGTGGAAGTAATTAGAGCCTGACAGCTAAAGCACCTTTCAAGTAAGGGGTTGTTTGTTTGCCAAAAAAAGAAGAAAACTGGCAGCCATGTCACCTTTGAGGAAATCCCCCCCATCCACATCAGCTTTTGGTTTCAACACATTTCCATTTCACATGTTTGTTTTATTTTTTTATTTAAGGAAATGGGGATGCCACCTAGGATGTCATATCACATTTCAAGAAATGTGTTTACAAAACAAAAAGTTGTGAAAACACTTGAAAAATATCACATATGAGTTTTTTATTAATAGAAGTGTTGGAAATTTATCAAATAATTAAGATTATAGCATGCAGATAAATCCGAAAAATTAAATAATTAAAACTGGTCTGAACGGGAGCAGTCGTGTATTCACTGCCCTAGAAGATTGAGAACCCGCCTATCGCCCTGGCGCAGATGGTTTCCTCCCCCCTAGCGGTAAAAACCCCCGGAAACGGCCGGCCTCTGCACTCGGGCGAGAGGGCAGAGCTTCAGCTCAGATGAAGGAAGTTGCCCATAGAATAAAACTAAGATGTAGATGAAAATAATATGTAGGGGAGAGAAGAAAAACAAGAGAAACTTGTTGTATATTTTCCTTATCATTTTGAGCTCAACATATGGATATATATATAGGGTTGGAAAAGACGTTACAAAACCCGTAATTAATTCTGTAACGTTCGTCATAAATTTTGTAACGTTCCCCATAATTATATATCCGTTACACATATTTTTAATTGCATGTTTTAATTAGGGAAAATTTTGAAAAACGATCGTTTTTTAAAAATAATAGGCAAAATCGACCGTTTAACAAAATAATTGGTAAAATCGACTATTTTTTGCACGGGACTAGTAGTCCCGTGCAAAAAAGGGTCGATTTTGCTAAAAAACCCCTTTTTTTGCACGGGAGTAGTAGTCCCGTGCAAAAAAATTGAATCACTATCCCATAGCTCAGACTGTTTTGTGAAATCCACAAAGTTCTCTCTAAAATTTAGGAGCATTATCTGAAATTTACCCTGCTGAAATTCTCCATTAGGCAAACAAAAAAGACAAAGAGAAAGATTGAAGGTCTCGAGTTCATGTGGCTGTGGACTTCACCTTGTTCATCTGAATCGAATCCATCGCAAACAAAAAAGACAAAGAGAAAGATTGAAGGTCTCGAGTTCATGTGGCTGTGGACTTCACCTTGTTCATCTGAATCGAATCCATCACCTCCTTCGCGATCGAGTTCATGTGGATGTGGACTTCGAAGCTCTCGAGTTCTATTGGAGCGTGCATCGACGCGAAGACTTGCTGGACCGCGTCGGTTACGGTGCGGGACGCGCCTTCGCCTGGTCGGGGCGGCGGTGGAAAGGGGAAATTGGGTATGATCGGAGGCGACGGAGGATCGGGTTTGGAGGATGGGACGGAGAGATTTGGATGGAGGAGGGGCTGTTGATTTGATGATGGAGGAGGGGGGGGGGATTTGGATGAGGGGCGGAGAGGGAGTAGAAGATGGAGGAATCGTTTCCCACGGTCGCGAGAGTTGGGGATTTTTTTGCACGGGACTAGTAGTCCCGTGCAAAAGAGGGGATTTTAGCAAAATCGACCTTTTTTTGCACGGGACTAGTAGTCCCGTGCAAAAAAAGGTCGATTTTGCTAATTATTTTGTTAAACGGTCGATTTTGCCTATTATTTTTAAAAAAACGGTCGTTTTTCCAATTTTTTCCTTTTAATTACAATATTTATTATAATTCATGAAGGCAAAATTGCCTTTTGTTAACAAAATATCTAACAAGAAGCACTGTTGGAGAGTACCATGATGAATAAATTCCTTTTTTAATGAGTCATTTCTCTTTTCCTTTTTCTTCTTGTCAAACAAACTAAAGAAATGGAAATCAAAAGCACTGTTACTGTGGAGGCTTTTTTTGTTTTTTTTGTGACTTGACAGTGAAAAGTGGAGGTTTCTTTGCGAAACAAATAAAATAAAATAAAAACTGAAAAACCTCTTGATATGTGTTGAAATCATTTCTAAAGCCGGTTTTCCATTTCCCTTTTTTGTTGGAAATAGCCAAAAAGGCCCTAAAAACAACCTAACCGAAGAGGACCGCGTCCCTTCTCCTACTGTAAAGAACTTCGCACGCTGGAAGTTTACTGTCTCCAGTACTCGGCGGAAGCGGGGCCCGCATCAGATCCAAGATAACACGCAAGTACAATCAAGTCCTACGCGAACAACCGTACACCAACCCTATGTGAGCGCTAGCATCTGCTACATCGGACGGAAGACCAACCTCCACGTATAACACAATTGTGCGGGAGGGCTACCTACCTGAAGAAAATGACGAGAACGCCCTTCATGTGCCTTCAGGCTTTTTTGGTCACCGCTCACGCTCGTCTCATGTGCTTGCCCCTAATCTTCACTCTCTCTCTCTCTCTTTCTATTCTCTCTCTCTCTCTAGAATTTGCGCAGAGTTTCAGATCCAAAATATCTGTTCTGGTTATCGAGATCGGAGGAGGTTCGGGTCGGTCCAATCCCTATCCGATCCGATTAGGTAACGGATTCGTTCGATCTCTTGCTTCGGCTTTCTGCTTCAAATTCTTTGAGAATTATGCGTTGTTTTATATGAATTTTGAGCAGATCTGGTGTCTTTTCATCTGTATTTGTTAGTCTCTTGATTCTAATTTGATCTTGTGGGATGTTCATGCTCTAATTGAGTTGAAGTAATTATGCGTTTGTTATTGTGGATCGTCAATTTATTAGGGGATCGTGTAAGAGAAGTATGAGGAATAATTGGAGCTCAATAATTATCTGGAAAACTTTCAAATTTTTTAGTCAATTTGAGCAGGTAAGAGGTAAAGAGGATAATTAACTGCGGAAGAAGATTCCTTCTGATAAAAAGTTAAGAGGGCTTTGTTTTGGTTTATGCTTGGGAAAGGGAACACGTGAAGTCTGTTCAATCGAAGCACTAGGTTCTAAACAACTAAACAGTATGAAATTTCTCATGAATGTTTAGGTAAGTGATAGCTTTGAGGAGTTGCGGCAAGAGAAGCGAAGAAGGGAACCCATGAAGGTATGCGAAAGCTAAAAAGGTTTTGATGAAATGCTGATATGCGCTCGGTGCTCAAATCTCTAATCCTACTACATATCTGGAATTTGATGATGCAAAACATCATTGTCCATTGATGCCTACAAATTGTGGGGGTGCTGAATGTGGTTTCCGTTGGATTTTCTCAAGTTCTCCTTTCCCATCGTGTCCTCTTCCTTAATTTTTGGACTTCCCCTGGTTGTTTTTAATGTAAGCGTAGGTTATTTTTACTAGTAAAGTGTGTTCAGGTGCACCTAATTCGTGCACTCTGCAGGATTGTGGCATTGGAATATCGTTCTTTTCCAAGTTTTCCTCGCCCGTGGTGTCCTCTTCAATTTTTCATTTACTCCTAGTTGTTTTTTAATATGTAATGGAGGTTATCATTAATAGTAAAGAGTCTAAATGCACCGGATGTGTGCATGACACATGAATGCGGGGTGCTTAAGTAGTGGAACTTGGGGGGTGCTAGACGTCTTTTTTTTGGGATTTGTTCAAGTGTCCTCGCTCATAGTTTCCTTTTCCTTCAATTTTTGGACTACCCCTAGTTGGTTTCTAATATATAATTATATAATAGTATAGGCTACATTTACTACAAACTAATACTCTGTTGCATGCGATGCATGTATGACAAATGAATGTAGGAGTTCTGAAGTAGTGGAACATGGGAGAAGTTGAATGTTTTTTTCCTTCAAGTTTTCCCTCCTATTAGATTTGAAATATTATAAGTTGTGATAGCACTCTTGAGGCTCTAAATGTGACTTGTATGGGTTAGAAATAGGGTAGAACACCAAATAATAGTTTAATACTCCTGAGAGAGGCAAACTTGAAAGAAAAAATTCTAAATAACTCATATTCAGTGTGATGTAGATGCATAACGAGTAAATTCATTAAAAAGTTAGATCTTCACGAGTCAAAAGCGGATACGGATGAATTATTGACTGGCCGCAGAGAAACAACCATATCTCCCAATCCGAAAGGCGGATCCTAACATATTATATATGAAAATTACCTATATCGACGAGACGGTGTCAATCAGCTTGGCAAAATCCTACAATCCCATCAGTAACACCCGGTTTTAGCAGGATTTCAGAAATATTCAGCCTTTAATTTATTTTTAATAATAAAGTTAGAATCAATTTAGATTAGGAAACAAATTTAATTTTGATTTAATTAGGACTAATTTATTTTCTTTATTACAGGGTAGTCTTTTAGGTAGTTTTAAATTGTTTCTTTCATTTAGGAATTCTGTTCTTATTAGGAGTAGGTTTTGTTTTTCTATTTAAGAAGAATGATTGTAAACATTATGAATCAGGTAACTTTTATCAATAAAATTTCTCTTTCAATATTTTCTTTGTGGATTCGAAGTTCTTCGTGGATTCAGAGATCGTTCTTTGTGGATTCAGAGAACACGTTTTGTAGATTCCGAGGTTATCACTTTCGTGTTGCGTCAATTGATATCATAGCCTTGTTTTCTGATCCGATTGTAGACAATGAAGCCCTTATTTTTCGAACTAAGTTTGATGAGTTGAAGACCGATGTTAATCAGATGAAGACTGCTTTAGAGTGATTTACGTCGACAGTGGAGCCTCTGAACACAGTGAGAGTTTGAAATCGTGTTGATGGTCGTCAGCGATGTGATCCGACTCCACATGATGAATTCAACATTGATAATGACTCTAAGCAAGACCTTGGAGTTGGGAAGAGCACTAAAAAGCAATAAAGAAAAAATCACCTCCGGAGCATAATATCTTTCGCACGAGATGCACTGTGATGCAGAAGGTTTGTGATGTTATCATTGATAGTCACAGTAGCAAGAATCTTGTCTCTCAGCGTATGGTAAATAAGTTAGGTTTGAAGACAGAGAAACACTCACCTCTCTATAAGATCGACTAAATTCGCAAGGGCAATGATGTGCAGACAATGAGATGTGTCGGGTATTTTTTTCTATCGGCCGCAGCTATGTTGATGAGGTGTTGTGTGATGTGGTCGAGATGGATACTTGTCATATGCTTTTAGGTCGGTAATGACAATTTGATATTAGAGCTACTCACTGAAGCAGTGACAATGCTTGTATCTTCAATAAGGATGGACACAGAATTGTATTTGCCTCTTATAGAAAAGAAGCCATCTAAGACGAAGGCTACTAAGAAGAAGAAACCATTGGTGGCAAACAACAAGGCTTTAGCAGAAAATATGAAGCAATTTGAAGCGGTCTATGACTTAGTTGTAATTGAAAACGAAGAACTTGCCTATGCTGAAATTCCTCCTAATGTGCAAACACTCGTTATGTTTGAGATTCATGATGGTGATATGATAGTGAGAATGAATGATATGCATGATATTCTAAAAGGGGTTGAGAGTGATATTACACATATTGATGTTGTCCTAATGGAGGAGAAGGATAAATTAGAGAGTGAGACAATTGATGATACGTGTGAATTGCTTGGTAAAGGGCTAGAGACAAAGGAGATGGAAGAATTGTGTGCGGAGTATGAGCCTGGATTTTCTTCCCTGGATGCAAAGGTTGTGAATAATTTCAAGATGATTTTGATGATACTTCCAGCACTAGGATATGCGAAGCAACATAGAACATATTTTGAGGAGTTTTTCAAGTCAACTGTAAATCCACACGTCGTCAGTCACGTAAACATAGTGTGTAAAAGATTTATTCAAAATTTTGATTCCGAAAAAGTCATGGCCGAAGAGGCAAAACAACAGATGGAGAAAATCAATGCTAAGTACAAAGCAGATGCTGATCGTTGCAAGAGAAGAAAAGTGCTTATCAAGGAAGCTGCTATACAAACAAATATAAGCTCGAGGTTGAGCTTCTTTCAACAAGGGGAGACTGATATAGGATACATAACGAGTAAATTCATAGAAAAGTGGGACCTTAGCAAGTCAAAAGCGAATACGGATGAATTATCGACTGGCCGCAGAGAAACAACCATATCTCCCAATCTGAAAGGCGGATTCTAACATATTATATATGAAAATCGCCTATATCAACGAGACAGAGTCAATCAGATTGACAGAATCCCACAATCCCATCAGTAACACTCGTTTTTAGTAGGATTTCAAAAATAACCAGCCTTTAATTTATTTTTATTAATAAAGTTAGAATCTATTTCGATTAGAAAACAAATTCAATTTTGATTTAATTAGGACTGATTGGTTTCCTTTATTATAGGGAGTCTTTTAGGTAGTTTTAAATTGTTTCTTTCATTTAAGAATTCTGTTTTATTAGGAGTAGGCTTTGTTTTTCTACTTAAGAAGAAAGATTGTAAACATCATGAATCGGATAACTTTTCATCAATGGAATTTCTCTTTCAATAATTTCTTCGTGGATTCAAAGTTCTTCGTGGATTCGGAGATTGTTCTTTGTGGATTCAGCGAGCACCCCTTGGTGGATTCCGAGGTTATCATTTCTGCGCTGCGTCACAGTGTTTCCCATGTTCCATTACTTCAACACTCTCTACGTCCTTGTGTCATGACTCAAGCACGTATCATGAGCCTAGAAGAGTAGTTACTAGTAAAATAACAAATACTATATATTGAACGAAGAGAACACCACGAGAGGCGTAGACTTGTAAAATCCATAAAAACCATGTTTAGCACCTCCTGTGTTTATGTTTCATGCACGCATCACATGCACCAGAAGAGTGGTAAACATGACATATACTGTTATATAAGAAACCTACTAGGGATAGTCAAAAATGAAGGAAAAGGACATCATGGGAGGGGCAGACTTGTTGATTTCCTCGTTCAGCACCCCCACAGTGCACTACTTCAGCAACCTCCCCCTCGTTCATGTGTCATGCATGCATTGAGTGCGCCACAAGACTAGTTACTAGTAAATAACTGATGTTGTATATTAAAAACAATTCTTGAGACAGACAAGTAAAGAAAGAAAGAAAAAGATCTAGTTGGTTTTGTATTTAGTGATCCTTAAACTAGGTTACTTGGAAATAGAAGTTCTAATATCTCTAATTTTATGCATTGTAATTGCCTAGCTTGGGATTGACTTATAGTTGGATGATGTTATCAGAATTTTATATGGCATGTGAGCCAAATTGTAAGCATTTATTCTAATGTCTTAAGTTTCACTTTTTATGTTTATATGTATAGTTTATTCTTGGGCCAATGTGTGTTTACGCTGGCTTGTCGTCATGTACTGGGGCCATCTATGTGGGCTTGTTTCCATATCCTCCATCCATCAGGCACATATAGCCAAGCTCTTTTTTCTCTTATGAACAATCTTGGCATTCACAATTCATTGGAACTTCTTTATGCCACAGATTGTAATTGTATTTTTGTTCTCCCTTTCAGCAGGCCATGTGATTTCTGGTTGATCATTTTTAACCTTGTGGTTTCGCTGATACGAGTATGGGAGCGGGCTATGAAAAGTCTGGAAGAAGAGCCATAAGAGATGCACCAACCAAGGCTTTTAATTTCTCTCTCATGCTTTCTCCTGTTGTTTCTTTTTGGGAATGTATTGTTCGTAAAATGAGATACTCCTTCAGACCTGAATGGGTGTAGTTCTTCAGGAATAGTTATTTGAAGTCTTTCTTTCTGCTTTAGAAGAGATCACAAAGCTTTCAAGGATTTAATTTGAAATCAGAGATGGCTTAAGAAGTCGGTTTCTTTCCATAGATAGACAGGTTGAATAGGTTAACTTTAGGTCAGCAATCTGAAAGTAAAGGGAAAAAGGATCTTTCATGGACAAAGTGAGGTGCGGTCAAGCAACCCCAATACTAAAGAAGGGAAAGAAGAAGCAGGCAAAAGATGAAGTTGATCGCCAGAAGCAGGCTGAGAAAAAGAGGAGACGCTTAGAGAAAGCACTAGCGACCTCTGCAGCTATAAGGTCTGAACTGGAGAAGAAAAAACAGAAGAAATTAGAAGAACAGCAAAGGCTGGACAAAGAAGGAGCTGCTATAGCTGAGGCTGTAGCTTTACATGTCCTCATTGGAGAAGATACAGAAGAATCTCATCATTTCATGCTAAATACAAATAGCAGATATAACTCTTGTGGAAATTATAGTAACACTGGGCTTTTCATGGGTTATCAAAGCTTTGCAGAGTATCCTAGTTGCAAGTGGAATGAGTGGGAGATCAAACAAGCATTGCCACAAGGAGTACGTGTAACAGATCTTCAGTCGCCTTTTTATGCAGAGAATTGTCAAGGAACAGATATTTCTCCGGGAATTATGGCAGCCCGAGCTGTTGAATCTCTGAAAATTGCTGAATGTTCACAGGACGATCCCTTCTCTGGCCGGGGAGCTGCAATTGTTGTTGTCAACAGGATGCTGTGACAAAGTAATTGGGGTGATCTTAGACACACATCATATACACTTGTATATAACCACTCAGGTTTGTGCTCGTTTGTTTTGGTTATTTACATGTAGTCATCTTATTACAGAATGACATAAAATGTTTGTATTAGTGTGTCTGAGCATCTGTTTGGTTTGGTGAGAATACGATGAGATCTGTTTTATTTACATTTGAAGAAAGACCTATAGAGAACAATAAATTGGCATATGTAATTTGTTGATTTTGTCTACTCACTGAGGTTAAGCATCTAAATTGGTTGATGGTAGTACTATCAATAATTTTGTTTCATGTTTCTGAGCGTGAGCTTTCAATACGAAATCTCGATATCCTTCTGGTGCAGTAGGTCCATTTTTTTTCAAAACTTGCTAGGTTATTGTGGACTATGTGCTGAATGTTTATTGTGAGTGGACAATTACAAATCCTTTAAATGGTTTGTGACTAGTGTGAAGATGATAGGGTACTAGTCCATAATTTGATGACCGTCTAGATCCCGTTACAAGGCATCTCTTCTTTTGTATTCTTCCATAGGCCCATTCATTAACTTCTCAGCTGGTACCATATCTTATATATATAGAGAGAGAGATTAATTGGTATCCTTGTCATAGGAGGGGATTTCCCTCTTTGTCGCCTATGTGGCACAATCCACACCAACCTCATAAAGTAGGCACTAATCCCCACCAATTCACACTCTTTCTTTACTTTATGAGGATGGTGGGGATTGTGCCACATACGGCGACTTAAGGAGGGAATCCCTTCTATGACAGGATACCTATTAATCTCATAAATATATATATATATTATATATATATATATATATATATAAAAGAAATATGAGAATGCTTGGTACCAAGCACAAATTTTGTGCTTGGTAGTGAGGTGGCACAATCCCCCCACTCATTCAAATGGGGGACCACATTTATATGAGTTGAAAAATGCATGGAGATATGCAATCATTTAAATAAGTGGAGGAGATTATGTCACCTCACTACCAAGCAAAACTTTTTTTGCTTAAAGTTGTGCTCGATACCAAGCAGGGGCGGATCCAGGATTTTAGTTCTGGGGGGCCGCGTACAAAAGATAGATAAAAAATTTTCTTAATGTAATTTTATTCACAAGAGATATACCACAACCCACATAAAACGAGTAGAATAGCCAACATCAATATCTTCAAAATATTTCAAAAGAGGAAGATAAATATTATATAAAAAATAGTCAAATAAGCATCATCTATTTTTTTATAACTAAAATTTCTCTAACTAAAAGGAATTCGACGTTCCTTAAAATTTTCAAAGCCTTCAATGATAGCATCAATGCTTATACTTTTAGCAATTTCTCTTTCAATAAACACCATTAATGCGTCGGAGAGGAAAGCATCCTCCATTTTGCTTCGAAGTCTAGTCTTGACGATATTCATAGCCGAGAATGATCGTTCTGCAGTAGCGGTAGAAGCTGGAAGAGTAAGCACAAGTACGATCACTCTAGAAATGAGATCGATGTAGCAGATTTATTAGTCTTTACCAACCATTGACCCAACTCAGAAATGGTTGAAAGAGTTTTGAAGTCTGACCCTTTGACTACATTATGCTCATAATGTTTCAGTTGCATCTTAAAACTCTCTTTTTCTTCACTTGTAAAATCTTGTGCATAAAACTTGCCAACCAATTTGCATATATCTTGTATTCTCAAAGCCTCAGATGCATTTTGAGGATTTAAGGCAAAACTAAGCATGAGCAATTCTGTCGCATCTTCACTAAAACGCACATTAATTTCTTGCATTTGTGAATCGATCGCGACATAAAGAAAGTCTAATCAATAATGATGCTCAATGGTGATGTCTTGATGATCACGAGCTCATTCTGCCCATTCGCTAAATACCTCTCCATAAATTTTCAATTTCAATGAAACCCCATTTATTAATCTTGTTGCTACTCATGGTAATATATTTACTATTAATATATACATAAAAACCCTCAAATAATTAATATTCACAAACTAAATTTTTTTCCCCAAATTAGGAATAGAGCACCCTAATTTTTCCCCCCGAAATTTTGTGGGGGCTTGAGGAATAGAGCACCCTAATTTATTCCCCCAAATTCTGAGGGGGCTGTGGCCCCCCCTGGACTGTATGTAGATCCTCCCCTGATACCAAGTGATGTTTAATGAGAGTGGTTTGGAAATTATATATGGTTTAATTACAACGTTATTAATTACATGCTAACTAACTAATTATTTATTTTATTATCTTTCTTGTTAGTCCTTTGGCTTTCGATCATCTCCGCACGCATCAAAATCATATAGGAAATGATTAATAATTTTGATTGAGGAAAGAGACCACAATGTGAAGAAGATCAAAAGCTAATAAAGCACTAAAAGGGCTGTTTTGTTGGAGGGTTTTTTGGGTTGTAACACCGTAGGTGCCGGCTGCTACAGCGTTATATAAACTCTTTATTTGGTAAAAAT